GGGTGTCGGCCAGAAGCTGAGAATTATGGGATGCTGGCTCGGAGGTCTTCGCAAAACGGCTGGGTTTAGGGTTTAAGGGTTTAGGGTTTAGGGTTATGGGTTTAGGGTTTAGGGTTGCAGATACAGTATGACAGAAGTAAGCGCATTGCGAGTTGCGTGGCAAAGTACTCTGGGATAAGGCAGTTCTGTGAAACTGTCCTTAGTGCTGAGCAACTTCGTGGTGTGTGTGTGTGTATTGGGGGTGCTAGCCATATCGGAAAAGCATCAAGAACTGGCGGAAGAGGTACTGTTTGGCGGTCCTGCGAAGGTCTCCCAAACTGCCTCGCATTCAGGGTCGTGCCAAACCTGGAGCCTTGCACAGGTTAAGACTCGAAGCTCCGACAACCTGCATGAATCAGGGCCTCATAGTTGCTTGTCGGGGATTATGGTTCAATATAGCCCACATGTTGTTTTCAACTAACATACGTATGTATATATATATATATATGTGTGTACACGTACGTATACATTGCCTGTCTTCCTTGCTGTGGTCGACACTGCTAGGCCAACTTCGATGACATGGACTGAGCAAGCATCCTGGGCAGGTGGAGTCAGAGGAACCAACTCGACTCCATGGTCGTGTGTCAAAGTTCATTGTCAACAAATTGAGGAGGCTAAGGCAGGCTAAGTATCCCTAAACCTTTCTTCGCCACAGCTTTAAACTTCTTGAGCTTCCCTGTTTAGTAGGAACAACAAAGTCTATCCTTTGTTTTTCCCCTGGTTATTGGAGAAGTAAGAAACCCTAAACTAGGTGACAGAATTCAACCTGGGCCGAGCCGAACTCCAGCTCGGCACAGGGCCTGCATGCAAACGTGAAAAAGCTGGGGCGTGGGTCTTCAACACTCCTGTTCATTTTCTGTACGTGCTGAGTACATGTAGAATATACATGTATATACACATATATATATATGTGTACATACACATATAAATACATATTGGTAATGTGCTGGACTCATTGTGTATTGCGTTCGTCTTTCTCAGCTGTCTTATCGTACACTTTCAGTTTCAATCATCACATTTGGGACCTTTCACAAGCAGTCAGGCACTGTATATGACCAGCTCAACTGATTTCGGCTTTCCTGCTGCTGTTTTGAATCATGCAAAATTACACGACTTCGAATTCCTGAACGAATTTACGCCACTCCACGGAGTCCACAGTGCTAGCTCAGACAGCTTTGCTTTGGAGCCTCATGACTTAGTGACTTAGCTTAGGCGTGTCTGCTGCTTCTGTAGCTGCAGCGTCTGCTCTCTTTCTCTCTCTTTCTCTCTCTTTCTCTCTCTTTCTCTCTCTTTCTCTCTCTTTCTCTCTCTTTCTCTCTCTTTCTCTCTCTTTCTCTCTCTTTCTCTCTCTTTCTCTCTCTTTCTCTCTCTTTCTCTCTCTTTCTCTCTCTTGCTCTCTTTTTGTCGCTCTCTCTCTCTCTCTCGCTGTTTCTGCCTGTCTCTCTCCCTCTCTCTGTGTCTCTTTCTCGCTTTCTCTCTTCAAGGAGGATCTCTACAGCTTGCTGGCTCGAGCCACTCTTTGGCGGCCTTGCTGCACCGTTCCTCCTTAAACTATGCTGCTGCCGGTGCTGAACGCTTGCCGGAAACTGAGACATGCTTTTGCGGGCCTTAGGGGTCATGACAGGACATGACAGGTAGGAGTAAACGAGTTGGATTGTTTTTTCTGTTCTGCTTTCGGCAAAACTCGCGGTAGTTGTCGTGTTGTTGGCTGGCGTGGAAAGAAAGCATGCTGAGTCGGCATGAACCCTAAACCCTGAGCCCGGTGCCTGCAAATCATGTGCGAGGCGGTGCAGACTTATCTTTCCAGGCAGTCGTACAAGCGAGGATAGGGGTAATGTTGTTTAGTTGTATCACACAATATGAATACAATATCGCAATGCTATAAACCCATACTACTAGAGTACCATAAGACTAACATATACAAATATGCGAATATATGAATCTACGAATAGACTACTAGAAAAGTAGAACAATAGAAGATTTGCAAATATGCTAATCTGCTCATACAATAACATGGTAAAAAAAACAATATTGGAATATGACTATATTTCAATGTTATTTAAGGGGCTGCGCCCATGGGCGGGCAGCGCAGGCAGAAGCGAGTTGCCCGGCGTGCGTCCCGATGGGGTCAGCTGTAGGCTTTCATAGTCGGAACGCACGGGCTTGGCGACAGAGGGAAACCTTATGCACGCGTGGGCTGCCGTGTCATCCAAGGCCGGAGCCGCTGATGCTCATGATGCGCACCCGGCATCCCGGACTGGGGCCGCTGATGCTCCTGATGCGCGCTTGGGGCTTCGGAACTCAACCCGCTGATGCTCATGATGTGCTCCCTTTGGCGGACCTTTGGGGGTGTCCGGGGCTCTCCCATGTTGCGCAAAAAAAACGTTCACCGGCGGCACGGCGGGGTCGGTGGCACTGGCGTCCGGCCTTAGTGTGCTTCGCACAAGGCTAGCTAGCTACGCACGGGAGTCGCCCGGAGCCTTTGGGAATGCGTGGAGCCCGCTAAACAGCAGGTAGGTCGGCAGAAGTAGGTAAAGCAGCATGGGCAGGAACCCTCAAAGTAAAGCAGCATGGGAATGCGTGGAGCCCTTTAACCAGCAGGTTGGGTACTAACTAGTCTGACATACAGTATTGGAATCGTACAAGAGTAATTGAATGATTTTTAAACATGGGGGACTTGAAAGTTCTTGGGCACGTGGTGCGTTCAGGGGATTGAGCCCAGGCCTCCTCTTCCAGTTGTCTTGGGCGAAGCATGCGGAGATCGAGCAGGTGACGAGGGGGGGTAGGGACTAGGGTTTAGGGTTCATCCGGCGAGGTCCGTCGACGCATCTCATGACTGAAACATCTACTTGTAGTTCCGCCTTTTGGGGTACCTAAATCATGCAAAGGCTACCAGCAAGTCTACAGCTCCCCAAACCCTAAACCCTAAACCTTAAACCCTAAACCCTAAACCATCGATGTTGATGGGGCAAGGTCTCCATTACCGCATTTCGCCGGGGCAATCAGGCTGAGCGTGAAGCCCAGGCGCGGCTCCCTGTGGCAGCTTGCCCAAAGGGCCCAAATACCTAGTAGTCGAGTCGGTAGCCTTTTAATCTTTTTTGGGGTAGTATAAGCCCCTGATAATCCCAAATACCTAGTAGTAGAGTAGGTAACCTATAACCTTCTTGGCGTGGTCGGAGCCCCTTATAATCACAAAGGTTGACCGTTAATTCCCCCAGGCTACCGGACAACTAGGAATACTTGTATATGGAGCAGCCTTTCAAAAACTTGCAGGAACCCAAAAAAGCGCTCAAGAGGCTTTCGTTGCCAACTCAAGGGGTTGCACGTCGATCCTTTTGGTAGATCCTTCGAATATCAGGGCTTGCTCCGTGCCTAGGGTTCAGGGTCACACAACAAAGGAGCCTGACTTAGGGAGCCGCCTCACCTGGTAGAGCTGCCTTGAACCCTGAACCCTATGTGATGCTGCCCCTCCGGGTCACCGCCCCGAAGCCCTATAACCCCCAAGCCCAGACCCCCTAGGACCCAGAGTAGGCCATGATTCCCTTTTTTTGCGGGGTCTGGGTTCCCTTATGAGCCCCTCTAAACAGAAAATGGCAGCCTTCTTATTCCTGGGTTGCTCTTGGGTCTCGTCCTAAACCCTAAACCCTAAACCCTAAACCCTAAACCCTAAACCCTAAACCCTTTCAGCGAGAGGTGTCGGCCCTGCGAAGGGCTTTCGCACACCATGGCATGGTGCGGGGTCCCAAAATAGGGTTTAGGGGCTAGGGTCAAACAGGCGGTTTAGGGTTTAGGGTTTAGGGTTTAGGGTTTAGGGTTTAGGGTTTAGGGTTTAGGGTTTAGGGTTTAGGGTTTAGGGTTGGGTTTAGGGCTTAGGGTTAGGGATTTTGCGGGTGTTTGAGTTGATGTCGTTGTCTCTTTTGGGCTTTGAGGCTTTTTTTGCGGCAGTGATTTGGAGTTTGAGCGATGCTCCCAAGGGACAGGGCGTGCAGGCTTTGTGGCTGTTAGGGCTGAATAGGGCTTGATTCCTTTGGAACTGGCTGGTTCTTCTGGGAGGGAATGAGGGACCCTGTACAATCCCTTAAATGGTCTATGTAGGGCCCGAATTCTCTCATTCCCTACTAAAAGAACCAGGGGTAACGGGCTGATGACGCCTTTTGGTGCGTTTCTGACTTCCACAGTCTCCACCCAGCTCCCTCACTCCCTGAGGTCGCACTAGTGGAGACCGAAGTGCCCGAGGCCCGGGGCTTTGGTGGTCAGCCACGGCGCTTAGGAGGTTTTAGTTTGGTTTTCGGGTTTAGGGTTTAGGGTTGCAGGGTTTGGAGTTTAGGGTTTCGGGTTTAGGGCTTCCCTTCCCGAACCCTGGTTCACTTCTCCTCTGCTTTGTGGTAGACTCCCAAGCCTCCCTACACCCTGAACGATGAACCCTAAACCCTAGTGTGCACCCAAAACCGCCCTGAACGGGCCACACTGCGCAGGAAGTCGTGGCGAGGGCGACGGCCAAGAGCCGGGAGTTCTTCGCCCTGCCGCAGGAGACCAAGGCCCTCAGCTTAGGGCTTTCCCTGTTGTTGGGTTCCAGGGATTTAGGGTTTAGGGTTTAAGGTTTAGGGATAGATGGGTTTAGGGTTTAGGGTTTAGGGTTTAGGGTTTAGGGCGCGCTTCCTGGACTCTACATTCTATATCCCTACAGTTTGGTAGTAATTGCTCTTACCTGGTATGTATGACCCATAACACTCCAGGGGAGAGGGGGGGGGACTCGCTGATCCGAAAGCCCGAAGGAATTCGGGGATCTGAGGCCTGAGGAACGGGAATGAATGGAAGTTGGCTGTCTAGCTCCTTATGCCTAAAGAGCCCTAAACCCTAAATCCCCCTCTTGTGGGCCCAAGGTCGACAAGTTGCAGAACGAATTTTCGCGTCATCCCCCAGACGCTCTTGAGGCTGAAGCTTCCCTAAAACGTGCACAGGCGCGCTTCGCGAAGCCCGCCGGGTATCCGCCCAGGTGGGCTGACGCTTGGGCTCTTCCCTTCGCAGATTTAGCGAGCTTAGAAGTTGCCTGTCTCTTGGGGTTTAGGGTTTCTGGTTTGGGGCCTTGCGGTGCCCTGAACTGGTGAAAACTATTTGGGGTCTCCAAAAGGTTCCACTCCGTAGAGCAGCCCCCCTTGTGACCCACATCTGCAAGCCTTGGACCCAAATAGCCTTGGTTACGCAGGCTTTGGGGCTGTCCTATCTTGAAAGATGCGCCGGTTCCCTTTTACAGGAAGAGGCCTCCTTTTCAAGAATCCGCGCAGGAAGACTGTACTCCTTAGTAGTAGAGTAGGTAACCTTTAACCTTTTTAGGGTAATAGAATCGCCTTATAATCCCAAAGGTTAACCTTTAGTTCCCCTGGGTACTGGACAACTAAGACTCTACCCTAAACCCGAAACCCTAAACCCTAAACCCTAAACACCAAACACCCTAAACCCGAATGAGCAGCCAGGTCGTATGGTGTCGTGACAACCCCGAGGGGGAAGTGCTACGAGGTGCAGCAAGACGACGGCCGAGGCGCCTACATTAGGGTTTAGGGTTTAGGGTTTAGGGTTTAGGGTTTAGGGTTTGACGAAAACAAAGGGAGATGACGAACTTCGGGACCTAGCAGACTTGCCAACATTACAGTACCATACAGGAACTCAGACTGAACCCCCCCCCCCCGCCCTAAACCCATCACACTTCAGTACTACGTGCACCAGGCTCTGCTCGGGGTCTGCAAGGCTTACATTCTTGGGGGCTAGGATATCACCTGACTCGGGGGGCTTTCGGAGAACTGGCCCTTTGCGGTCCGAGACTTCATTTGGGGCGCGGGTTTTTAGAGTTTAGGGTTTAGGGTTTAGGGTTTAAGGGGGTCCCTGGGCACAGGCAACCTCCTGAATGAGTGGCTCTACGTGCGCAACACCACCGTTGCGATGGATGTCAAGGATGCATACTACAGCTCTGATGAAGGACCTCTTCAGCGCAGCTAACCCTAAACCCTAAACCCTAAACCCTAAACCCTAAACCCTAAACCCTAAACCCTAAACCCTAAACCCTAAACCCTAAACCCTAAACCCTAACTCAGTGCAGCTTCATGCTAAACCTCAAACCCTGAACCCTAAACCTCCAACCCTAAACCCTAAGCCCTAAAGAGCTGTCAGCACAGCACATGGAGGACGCGAGTTCTACAACCCAGAGGCAAAGCATCCCGAGCAGCAGCTGTGGCCAGAGGAGGCAAGCCCGCAGGATGTTCTGGTGAAGGGTCGGGCTCAGTGTACTTGTAAAGCAGGGATTTAGGGTTTAGGGTTTAGGGTTTAGGGTTTAGGGTTTAGGGTTTAGGGTTTAGGGGTATTACGATCACAAGAACAGTGAGAATGACGATGATGATGGAAACGATGGTGGTCGTCCGAGCCGAGGAAGCTGAGGGGAGGGCCATCGGAGCAAGTGGGGAGCTCGCAACACTTGCCCTAACGCGTAAAACCGACAAAAACACACTGAACTCCAATAGAGGGCCTTAAGAATTCGGACAGGGTTTTGGGGGTAATGATCGTGTATTGATAAAAGGGCCAGAAGGGAATACCATTCGGAAGTATTCCGACCCCTTCACTAGACACCTCTTTGCTGCACACCTTGCGACTCTCCAAATGTAGCTCATTGGGAAGTCCAGGGAAGCACGAGGCCACGTTTGCGCGAGTGAGACTTGTATCAGCCCTCAATTTCTCAATCCTCTGGTCTACTGCCAGCCTTAGCCAATGCCCCTGAAATCAGCTGCACGCACCCTAACCCCTAAACCCTAAACCCTAAACCCTAAACGCACACTTCGTACACCCCGGAGCCGTCCATCTGGCTCAACACCCAGTGACTCCACTGCTGACCTCGGAAGAGCATGGGCTGCGCGGGAAGTTGCAGCATCCGGGATGACACGTTTCGGCGCAGCTCGTCCTGGTGCCAGCGGGGCACCCAGGTGCCTTACTTCGCCTTTAGTTGAAGGTTTGGGGTTTGGGGTTTGGGGTTTAGGGTTTAGGGTTTAGGGTTTAGGGTTTCTTGGGTTTCCTTATTTAGTAGGTTTAGGGTTTAGGGTTTCTTGAATTTCCTTATTTAGTAGGAATATCAAAGGTTAACCTAGTTTCCCCTTGGTTGTTGGAGCAGTAAGGTACTGCCTAAAGGGGTCAACATGCCGCCCAACCGCGACGCACACGAGAGATACATCAAGGAGCTGGAGCACTACCTCTCCGAGGTTGCTGAACTGTTGGGTGAAGTAGAGGGAATGAGGGAATCATAGGGCCCTGTATATTACTGTATATAATCCCTTAAAGGGCATAATTTGGGGGGATAGAGGGCCCTATATAAAAAAAAATATAATATATATATATATAATACAATATATATAGTCCCTTAAAGGGCATATTGAAGAGGGGGATGTAGGGCACTAGATACAATCCCTTAAAGGGCATATTTAGGGGGAAAGTAGGGTACCTCTCCGCAGGTGGAGGCCGATCCCGAATGCTTCGAGCATCGAGTGAGGCGTCGGCGGTGTGAGCTGGATCTGCTCAACGCGCTATTGACGTGGCCCCACTGACTCGGTTCGAGTCAAGCCAGGCGCACGTGTAGTAGCAGCTCTGAGCCGGAGACTAACAGAGAGATCATGGGTGAGGCTCTGCAAGAGCCTAGATCCCAGCTCTCCTGCAGGAAGAAGAAGGCATACATTCAGAAAGACTTGTTCACGAAAGACTTCCAAGATGTTACAATTCCTCAAGCATTTCCCAAACCATGGTTGACAATCTGCATATTCCGGACGCCACTCAGCGGCCAACTCGCCGTGAGCCCCCTGCTCGGGTTCAATTACTAGTATAGGGGCCTGCAATTCAATTAGAATGGAGCTTTTGGGTAGTTCTATGTGCTTTATGTGCAATCGTATAGTGATGAGAGCAAGCTTTTGTTTGTGGGGGGGGGGGGGGGGTGGACAGTGTTGGGAATAGTGTAGGCTCCTGAACGAGGTGCCCGAGATGAGTTTGAGTCTCTGGGTCCCAAGCTCAAGTGGCACCGTCGTTACGTCAACATGTGATGCAAAGGCACGGTAGCGGTCACGGGATACGGGCTGGGACCTGGAATCTATGCTTAGACCCTTCTTTATTAGTATCTGGTTTCGTGGACCAGCGGATGTTTCCTTCTTATAATGCACCGACAGATAGCTGCCAGGTATTGCTGACAGTCTGTAGCGCATGGTGCATGCTGGGCGAAGCCATTGAGGAATGATCATGTGGCAGAGCTTGTCACGGCAGCCGCGGCTCTTGTTGTGATCGGGCGCAGTTGGACGCTTCAGGCGCCACGGCACGCGTGAAAGGCCCCAAGGTTCGACTGAGGTCGATGTTTGGGCTCGTTTTTTCGTCAAAATGTATCTATGCAGCTGCATGTCCAAAAGTATACAGGCTGAGAATGCTTAATTCTTGGCGACCACCTTCTGTGTTCGCCGCGAGTTCCACTGCGACCAACGCTCGCATGTGGCGCTGCGGCCCCACGCTTCCTTGCTGCGCGGTGTGTTCGTCGCGCTCGCTTGTATAGGTTCAGGCAGGCCTTGCAATATCTGCTGAAAAGACAGCAAGCTGCAGGCAGGGGCAGGTGGCTGGGCAGACGTACTGCTCTTGTTGTACTTAGGCGCCGTTGGACGACCAGGCGCTGCAGCACGCGTGAAAGGTCCCAAGGTTCGACCGAGGTTGATGTGTCTCTGTCGTTTCGTGAACATATTGCATGCAGCTGCATGTCCAGAAGTATATAATGTTATGGGCTGAGACCAGGAATCTATGCTTGAGTTCTTGGCGACCTTCCTTACACACCCGCGTCCGCCATGCGTTCCATTGCGACCAACGCTCGCATATGACGCTGCGGCCCACGCTTTTGTGCTGTGAGTGCTTTCATCGCTCGGTACTTGTATAGATTCAGGCAGGCCTTATGTGGAAGAATGATCGTCCCGGCCGTGGCCGCCGCGCATTTGGTTGGAGATTAGCAATTTGCCGTCTGCAGAAGACGGACCACAAACTGGAGCTTGTCACGGCGGCCACGGCGTTTTAAGTTTTGTGTGCTTAAGCATGATTGGACGCTTCAGGCGGCACGGGTGCAACCTGTCTATATATGTCGCGACATACCTTCGTAAAGTACATGCAAGGCGTCAACTCAATCGTTTTGCGCTTCGAACCCTCACTGCTCATAGGAGCGTTTCATCGCGTGGCACTTGAAACTCAAATTTGCTGCCAGGCTATACTACATGCGAAGCATGCACCTCTGCACCCCAGCAGTTCAACAAGATCTGCAAGCTTGAGTGGCATTGCCATAAGAATAAGAATAAGAATAAGATTAAGAATAAGAATCACATGTCGCAAGGCGTTCCCACAAAGCCGCACTCGGCTCGTGCCACTTAGCTCGAGTGATCTCGCCGTGAGCCTGCGGGCAGGAGCCTAGAGAAGCAAGCACTGATGATGCAGGAAAAGGGCAACTCTCTCTTAACTAGGCAGCTGATCATGGCGACGGGATACCCGGGTTTTTTTGGGGAGAAAATGGCAAGGAACTACTTCTGGCTCCTGTATCCGACTTGTTGCCGCTGCAGCCGCCCAAGTTTGGATTTTGCGCGGGCGTGTCTATTGCCAAGCGGGAAAGATCAGCTCCTGCCAGCAGATGAGACGACAAAGGTTTCGAGTCCGATTCTTGTTCGTGTCTTTGTCTTGCAAGGCTTACTATAATGGTGCTCTTCCCACCCGACCCCTAAAAAAAAGCAATCAAGCCTTTGGAACTTAACTTAACAGATCGAGCACTAGTTTTCTTACTTTAAGCATTTGTTTGTGATCAATATGGCTCTCAACTGCTGATGTTCTAAGGGCCTTATCTCCACGACTATCTTGTGCAAGATGCCCCCCCCCCCCTTTGAGGTCCTAAAACCCTAAACTTGGGATGTTCCCCCTTCTACTGGCAGTCCTTAAGGGGATTCTAGTGGCCACTCTTATGCATCCCTATTAGGGACTGATAGCAAAAAGGGGTGAACATCCTGGGCCGCCTTGGGAAGGTCCCAGGATTGCAAGAAGCCACGGCGGCATTTTACCATGAGGCGCGATGGGTGCACTTTCTGCTTCCCCACAGGCTTCTTGAGAAACTTCTGAAGGCAACAAACTGAGATCTCTTGAAACACCGTAAATACCGCCAATATTCGTGTTCATCCAAAGTATGCCTGCCCTAAACCCTGAACCCTAAACTCTAAACCGCAGCTTCTGACAGCAGAAACATCTTCTATGTCACTTCCAGCTCTTGCATATGCTCAAAACCCCAGTTTTCGGCTATTTATATACTCCATCCTCATGAGTTGCAAAATGGTGCATATATGCGTGCTTTGCGAATGGTACTGATGTTGACAATGGACACGAAAACTTGCCACGCGCGCACGGCAACACCCCCATATCTCCCAACTTCCTACAAACAGACGTGCGCCTTTATCATCTCTGCCATATCCGAAGCAAGGATACGAGAATCTTGTACGATTTTTGTGCGAGAGGTTGGTCTTGGGAGGCCCACTCGGATCTGCTCCGCAGCCACAAGGGCTGAAGTACCCAAAGCTCAAGCTGTTAGGGGAAGAAAAATAAAGAGAGAAACTCCTTGTAAGGACGAGTATCTTCGTGTTTTGGGGGGCGCTTAGTAAGGGGCGGGGATCGCTCACGGATAAGTGTCTATGGGGGTTTGAGGTTGAGGACTCGGGGGGTGGGGGGGGGGGGAGGTGTATGTAATGTATATACATATATCACATGGATTTCTGTAACGTTGGGGTCTCATACCCCGGCTTCGTAGACCCTTGCCCTAGCGGGGGCCTCACGGAAGCGTCCGGGGGCTTTAGAGGCCTTGTAGGATTAGGGTTTAGGGTTTAGGGTTTAGGGTTGAGGGTTTAGGGTTTTGAGTTTAGGGACACGCTTTCTTGCATCCAAGCCGGAGGTCGAGGAACTTTCGAAGACGATGTACGAGCACCACGGCCCAGGTTTTTGTTAGGGGCTCGAGGGGGTCGAGTTGCGTCATCTTGGTGAAGCTCGTGTGCGGCGATAGGTGGGCGTTCCTGCAGGGTACTTTTGCAACTCCATAGGCAGGAGCAAAACCCATCGAGACTGTTCTCGATGCTCTCCTAGCTTCTCCTAGCCACTTAAGAGGCCCTCACCAGCTCGCCTGATCGCCTGAGTCTTTGAGCAAGCGCAGGGGGGGGCGGTCAAAAAAAGATGAAGCTCCCGGAAGCCAACCAAGGCTTTTCGCTCGGGCTTTGGGCCTGGCGCCAGACTTCTTCCTGCAGCGCGCGCGGCGCGCGCCAATCTGGCCGGCCCCGCGGCCCAAGAGCGCCCGGGTTTTGGAAGCCATCTTTGGCTTAGGGGGTGGGGTTTAGGGTTTAGGGTTTAGGTGTTAGGGTTTAGGGTTTAGGGTTTAGGGTTTTAGGGTCTGGGGTGTTGAGGGTTTAGGTTTCAGGGTTTGCTGCGACATGGCGGAAAAGGTCAGAAAAAGAGACGTTCGACTGTGGACCATCAACACCATCCTCCCCCCGCTCCAGCCCCTCACCCGTCTGAGGCGACAAACATGCGGAAAACCAATCTACCCTATGCCTCAGAATGGTTTGGCCTAACTTCGTTTCATGCCATGAGTGTTGCAATACAGCCCTGAGCGTTGCACCCCCCCCCCCCCCAATGTATGTTTGTATACATACATGTTTTAAACCAGACGAATTTACAAAACCCTATACCCTAAACTCTAACCCGACCCTAAACCCTACACCCTAAACCCTGTAAACCTAAACCCTAAACCCTAAACCTAAACCCTAGCTGTTTTTTGCTCTTACTGCTTCCCACTGAGGTGACCATTGCCCACTACCCGCCGCAAGAGAAGGAACCAGAGGGGAACCGCTCCAGGATTCAGCCGCACTGGGAGTCTTGGCATGGGGTTGAGGGTTTAGGGGTTGAGGTTTTAGGCTTTGGGGCTTAGGCTTTGGGGTTTTAGGCTTTAGGGTTTAGGGGTCAGGGTTCAGGGTGGTGCCGAGTTTTGCTTGTTTTTAGCTGTGGCGCCACACCTTCTTTTGTTAAATATGTGGCGGGCCCCTGGGTTTTTCTGGTCTCCCGTCCCGTGGTCCCTGCGGTTCTCTTTTTGTTTTTTGAAGGTGTGGCGATTTTTTTTTGAGGTGTGGCGTGTTCTTTTTTTTCAAAGGTGCGGCGGTTTGTTTTTTACAAGGTGTGGCGAACCCCTTGCAATTGAACGATAATGGCGTGTTGGTGCTAAAACGCACACCTGAAAGCCGGCTCGAGCAACGCATCTTCTTGGGTTTTAGGATGCAATGTGTAAGGCTATGGGGTTTCCAGCTAAGCCCAACACCAAGCACCACACATCCCGAACACTCAACAAGGCTGGCTCCTCTGTGATATTGTAGCATGCTTAGCCTCAACTTCAACCTGCATGTGTCCACTCCCTGACCCCCTAAAACTTAAAACCCAAACCCTACACCTTAGATCGCCCCCCAGAAAGGGGCTCATGGTGTACCCCTGCAACCACCAGGATCGGACGCTCTTTTCGCTGATCACGACCAGTGCCTTTGCTCGACCCCGGAATCCATCGGCCTTGAAAGCGCCCAAACCGCCTGACCCCCACCCTGAAGCCAGCAGAATCCAAGAGGCTCCCCTTGTAATACACGGTCTAAGATCATGTCCTATCGTCTCACACCGTGCCAATCACATCGCACACTATCACATCAGCATATCACCACAGATTCTCTCATATCACAAAAGGCCGTTTGAAAGCTCAAGAAGCCGCCAACAGCCCCCCTGCCCCCCAGGGCCCCCCCCCCAAGTTGCTGTTTCACTGTGGTCATCAGGCGACAGTGGCGACGAAGAGTCGGAGGGCGGGCTGCAGGTACTCCTGAAGAAGGGCCTTTGTTCTTCAGCAGTGTAGAGTTTACAAGGTTTAGGGTTTAGGGTCCAGGGTTTGGGGGTAAGGTGATTACACGGCCTTAGGGCTTCGGGTTTTGGTGGTTGTCTAATCTGGTATGAAGGGTTTTCCATTTCACGCATTTTGCATCTCCTCCACGAGATCTACGACTCCCTGCTTTGCCTCACCTTGCCTTGGCAGATATTGGTGGACTCTGAAACGGGCGAGGGCGTCGACGGGCGCGCACAAGTCGAGGCGAAGAGAGACTGCCTTTGTCGTTATCCGAGAAGCTGAGAAATAATGCTGGAGAGCGAATATATAATTAATCATACATATATGTATGTGCAGATATCTGTGTGAGTGTGAGTGTGTGTTGTGTGGGTGGGTGTGTGAAAGGTGATGTGTTCCAAAGCGTTTCGGGCTTAGCTGCGCAACTCTCTGTCTTCGAGTGGGGAGAATTTTGGGAGCAAGTGATACCGTGCTGGCCCGACACTAGTGCTTGCCAGGGCCGCGACGTGGAGTGGCAGCAGGTGGGCAGCACTCAAGGGAAGGATAGCCTTTCTGCGCCCCAAACCCTGAACCCTAACCCCTAAACCCTAGACCCTAACCCCTAAACCCTAAACCCTATTAACCCTAAACCGCTCTTTCAGGTTTCCATCAGCAGCACCCTAGTATTCGGAGGCAAAGGCAGATAGAAGCACGCCAACTCCAACTACGGTTGCCCCGGCATAGGGTTTAGGGTTGAGGGTTTAGGGTTTAGGGTATACTCAAAACTCCCAACCCCGTCCCCCCCGCCAAACCCTTTTTGCCCTAAACCCCTAAGCCCCCCAACCCCCTTAATCCCTAAGCCCACTTATTAAATGACCCTAAACCCTAACCCCTAAACCTTAAACCTTAAGCCCTAAACCCTAAACCCTAAACCCTAAACCCTAAACCCTAAACCCTAAACCCCAAACCAACACTGAGCTCAAAGCCAGAGGTGGTACGGCCGAAGAACGGCTTCGTGGTCAACGTGGGAGAGCCCCATGGCCGCGCTGCCGTCGGTTGAAAGGCTGAGGGCTGCTGGATTTAGGGTTTAGGGTTTAGGGTTTAGGGTTTAGGGTTTAGGGTTTAGGGCAAAGTTTAGGGTTTAGGGTTTAGGGTTTAGGGCTCAGGGCAGTGTTTGGATCTAGGGATGTCTGTCTGTTCGTAGCTTACTCGTTGCTGGTGGTGCATTTCAGGTTCTTACAGGTTCCCTATATAGTCCCCAAGCTTTTTGTTTTGCGGGGGGATGGTACCTAAACCCTAAACCCTAAACCCTAAACCCTAAACCCTAAACCCTAGACCCTAGACCCTAAACCCTAAACCCTAAACCCTAACTCGGCCTGCAGCCTTGAATTCTGAGGATGATGAGCCGGTGGTCCAATGGGCGTACCTCCCCCAGTCGTTGGCTTTGGGGGGGGGGCCCCTGGAAGAACTCTGGGGTTTAGGGTTTAGGGTTTAGGGTTTAGGATTAGGGGGTGTAGGGCTTCGGGTTTAGGGCGATTAGGGTTTAGGGTTTGGTTGAAGTCGGGAATTATGTTTCGCGTATGGGGCCGAAGTAGTGTTTCCAGTTTGCGTAGGCTCAAGTCGGGAGTTTAGTGACGGTTTAGGGTTTAGGGTTTAGGGTTCAGGGTTCAGGGTTTAGGGTTTAGGGTTTAGGGTTGAATTGGAGTTCAGGCGCTCAAGTATAGGTTTTTTGCAGTTCGCCGCAGTCCTCCTTTCCAGCGGACGGGGTCGGTCCATTCCGAGGCATGAAGCACGTTGTGCATCGCGTACCTAATCCCGTTCCTGGGCGAGAGCCCCATGGTCGCATCTCACTCATGGAGCCTCGGACTGATCAATGAAGCGACCGAACGGATAAGTGAAGCATTCCACGTGCGTGCGCGATGATTCAGGATATGCATGCTAATTGCAAGTCCGCAGGCGGTTTCATGCTTCATGGCACCACAGCGCATGTTGGTCTATGGGCCTTGCGATTGATGGTCGTTGGGGCTCCGTCTCAGGTAACACCCTCTCACATGTCGAATCATGCCATGAATTCCAGTTGCCGAAAAATTAAGCGTACCACAACTAGCCTCGTTGGGCGGTGTTCATCCAGGAGTCGCAAGTCCAGATAGGTGACCCAGCATTCTGATGGAACATCAATCCTCCGCATAGGCATTCGTCTTGCCGGACTACGATGCGGTGGTGGAGTGCATCCACTGCAGCAAGGATGGGCGTCCCAGCTCCAAATGCTAGACTCTCCAGATATTGCCGCAGATTCTGAGGGTCCATACAGTTCTTCTTGCAAACTACTGGGCGGTTTAGGGTTTAGGGTTTAGGGTTCTTGAAGCTTCCGCCTTCTTATGTCAACTGTACATCGAACAAAGCTGCAGCGCTTCTTTCTTTCCGCGGACTGCAGGGCCTCACAGGTGGCCAATGCCGCTCTATCTGATCTCCTGCCTTGGTGCAACGGAATCCGTGACCTTTCACCCAAAACCCTAAACCCTAAACCCTAAACCCTAAACCCTAAACCCTAAACCCTAAACCCTAAACCCTAAACCCTAAACCCTAAACCCTAAACCCTACCCAAAACCCTAAAGCCTCCATTGCCTCGTACTCAGAAGCCAAGGTCCGAGCCTCTCTACGAGAAGACCTGGGTGGGGGAGATGATGAACTGGGGGTCAAAGCTGCCCATCTACAACCAAACGACACTGGGCTCTCGAAAAAAGAAGGGAGGGTCTTGGGGGCGGGCGCATCTAGGGTTTAGGGTTTAGGGTTTAGGGTTTAGGGTTTAGGGTTTGGGGTTTGGGGTTTAGGGTTTAGGGTTTAGGGTTTAGGGACAGCATGAAAGATTGAGCTGCCGTGGCCAAGGCCTTGCGTTTGCCTCGCACAACGTGCGTCACGAAAGGGGGTGAGGAGGGGGTGGTGCGGGGGGGGGGGGGAGGGGGGGGTTACGACCATGTTATTCTAACCACGCCCAAACACTGCAATGTTCAGCGCTTTTTCTTACTTTATGCAACATGAGGCAAAAGGATGTTTGGCAATTCTGGAACAGGACGCGTTGTCGCAAGCCTTTTGTGAACATGCCCACAACACTGGACAGTTTCCCGCTTTTGCCTTTTACAAAGAAAGTTTGGTGTTTCTGCAACCAACGCTTCTACAACATAGAAGGCTGCGGTCACAAATCAAGCAGCGGAGAAATGCAAAAGACACAACCACCGGCTCTAAACACAATTTTTGCCCAATGCAGTTTCGTGGACATTTTACATTTGTGTCTTGCAACTTGGTTTTGCAAGACGCAGACCACACGTGCAAACTAGTGAAAGTTCGCCGGAAGCATCCACATCTGCCTACACTAGCAAGTCCTCTGTAGTATCATGGTGTGCCGAGTCCTCTGTGCCTGCAAAGATCTGAGCACTCGCAGCAAGAATGCGCGGCAAACGCGGTGGGCGCAGCCTGGAATCTGAAGGGAGCCTTGCTGCAGGATCTGGCACGACACCCTCTCAGAGGGGGGAATGTTCTGTGAGCCTTGCAGATGTCGGTCCCTAAACCCTAAACCCTAAACCCTAAACCCTAAACCCGAAACCCTAAACCCTAAACCCTAAACCCTAAACCCTAAACCCTAAACCCTAAACCCTAAACCCTAAACCCTAAACCCTAAACCCTAAACAAAGAAGCCAAGAAGCCTGCTGCCCACGAACAGCGTGTCAGGAAGATGGAAGCCATGCGACGAGCACAAGGCCCCCCCCCCCCCCGGCTCCTCCTCCCCTAGTAGCTGAGTAGGTAAGCTTTAAGCCTTGTGGGTTTGGGGTTTAGGGTTTAGGGTTTAGGGTTAGGGTTTAGGTTTAGGGTTTAGGGTTTAGGGTTTAAGGTTTAGGGTTTAGGGTTTAGGGTAACCTTGTTTGGCCCAGGGTACTCAGCAACTAGGCCTCTTTGACAGGGATCCGGAAGGATCTGAAGCAAAGCTATGGACTAAATCCGAGCTGAAAGTCTTATTCCCGCGTATAGATTACACACGACACATTGTATGGTGTGGTAGGTTAAGATATGCTGTGCTATGCAAAAATGACTTCTCAAGACTTTGGCTTACTTGTATTTTCCGATATGCTGTTGTCGTCGAGTAGACTCGGGCAGCCTTGCAGTCGGGTAGGGTTTAGGGTTGAGGGTTTAGGGTTTAGGGTTTAGGGTTTAGGGTCTCTGCGCAGGCCTGTATACGAATCTGGGGGCTCAGACCAAGCTTGGCGAGCCAACGGATGTGAAGGCGCGGCTGAAACTGGAGTTTGAAGTTTAGGGCTGGGGTTTAGAGATTAAGGTTGAGGGTTTAGGGTTTAGGGATTAGGGTTCGGGGTTTAGGGTTTTCGGGTGCTGAAATGTAGTGCAACTCAAGCGCTCCTGAATGGCATATTGACCCCTGGTTCCAGCCCACGGCCGGTAGCCTGGCATCGGCAGTGCAGATCTCCGAAGCGAGGCGTTTTCCGCCTTCTGGGCATGCCCAATGCCCGATGCAGCCAAGCACGTTCTTGTTCTAACCGAGACTATATAACCCCTTAATTAAAGGGTACATATTTAGGGTACCCTATATAATCCCTTAAAGGGTCTATTTAGGGGCCTGGCCTTGGCGAGCTTTCACTTTCCGCCCTTTCTTGAACATCATCAGCGGCTGGCCCTTTCATGCTTGCGAAGTGCAGCCACCGTGACATCTCCGCCCAGCCTGCCAGCATGCACTCCTTTTCGGACACGAGGAAGCCCTAAAGCCCCCTAAACCCTAAACCCCAAACCCCAAACCCCAAACCCTAAACCCCAAACCCCAAACCACAAACCCCAAACCCCAAACCCTAAACCCTAAACCCTAAACCCTAAACCCCAAACCCTAAACCCTAAACCCTAAACCCTAAACCCTAAACCCTAAGCTTGCAGGCCATGGAGGCCATGATGGCGAAGGAAGTGAAACTCGCCGAGGCACGGCGTGAAGATCCCCCCCCCCCCCCTCCCGCCCCCGGAACCTAAAGCGTTCCTAAACCCTGAACCGTAAACCCTGAACCCTAAACCCTAAACAGTCCCTAAACCCTAAACCCGCAGAGGAGTCCCGCTGACTCCAGGCAACTTCAACCTCAACTCCCAAGAACCTCCGAGAACCCCGATAGCACAGGAGCCTGGGGTAAATAAAAAACGATCATCATCACCCAGTCAAAATTTCAGCTTACGACTTTCATGCCATTCTATAATGACATGGGTGGGCACCTTGGTGTAGGGTTTAGGGTTTAGGGTTTAGGGTTTAGCGTTTAGGGTTTAGGGTTGAGGGTTTTAGGGTTTAGGGCCTCGACGTTAGGGGCCCACATCTCTTCAGTCTTCGGGCATCCTTTGTGGAATTTGATTTTCCCAGACACACGCCATCTCAATCCTCGGACATGTTGTCTTCTCTTTCTGAATCTATAGACCAAGCACTCAACCCAACCCGACTTATAAGTAAGGTCACTGAGTAGAACGGCAGCTTTTATCACCCAATGAAGCGGCATCCCGGAAAAGAATAGCAAAAAGCCAAACTGAAAACGCACAACGAAGCCTTCAATCTACTGGCCCCCGGAGCAAGAGAGTCCACAATTCAGTCGAGGCGAAGGCAATCCGAGTTGTGGACGTGGTTCCGCGGCAGAACTTGGGCAACTCTGAGGATGAAACCTTGCCCTTGGGATGTTCCCGCTATACTAAAGGTCATGAACAGGGGTTGTAATCGGGGGGGTACTACAGTCCCCATTAAGGACTGTTAGTATAAGGGGGAACATCCCAACCGTGCCTGGTTGTTAAGGAGCCCATCGCGTGTCCTCCCTTTTCGTGAGCAGAGGTTGATTTAGGGTTTAGGGTTTAGGGTTTAGGGTTTAGGGTTTAGGGTTTAGAGAGTTGGCAGAATTCTCAGGCCCTCCTTGGTAAGTTCATCCTTGAAGGCCCACGGTCATGCGATCACCTGCAGCGGCATATGGGGGGGGTGTCGGAATAATTATGAATGTTATCCCCTTGTGGTCCTTATATCAGTATACCAAAATAACTCCCCAAAAACCCTACCAACTCTTAAGGCCCCCTACACAACCATTCAGCGAGGAGTGACACACCCACCCCGACCCACACAAGTGTCCACCGCAAACGGGCTCAGAAGATGACTTTTTTGATCAAGGCCTTGCCTCCAAAAAGTGGGGTTTAGGGGCTTAGGGGCTTAGGGGCTTAGGGGCTTAGGGGCTTAGGGGCTTAGGGGCTTAGGGTTTAGGGTTTAGGGTTTAGGGTTTAGGGTTTAGGGTTTAGGGTTTAGGGGCCGACCGAAGCAGAGGCTCCCTTGGTGAATGGCAGCTTCGAGGAGCAGCTCCGCACAGCCAAGGAGACTCTTGGAGGAACCCCTCTCGAGTGTAATTGTCAAGGGTTTGGGGTTTAGGGTTTAGGGTTTAGGGTTTAGGTTTAGGGTTTGGGTTTAGGGTTTGGGGTTTGGGGTTTAGGGTTTAAGGTGTGGGGGTTTGGGGTTTGGGGTTGGAGTTTGACGTTTCGGGTTCGGCTTGAACGGTTCAGGGGGGATTCTGGAAATCCGGGGTTGCAGAATCCTTGTGTTTGGGTGGGTTTTTGTTTGCCCCCACGTGTGGAGACGCATGGGTGAAGCAGGGACGTCTTGCACGTCTGTTTAGGGAAGCCAGCAGAACCGTGCACATCATGAGCCAGAGTCGCTTCGTTTGATCAAAGCCACCCAAGGAGTTCGGGTGGCCCTAAACCCTAAACCCTAAACCCTAAACCCTAAACCCTAAACCCTAAACCCTAAACCCTAAACCCTAAACCCTAAACCCTAAACCCTCAAGTCGGTAGATCCCTCAAGTCGGGACATCCCTAAACCCCTAGACCCTAAACCGAAACCCTAAACCCTAAACCCTAGACCCGAAACCCTAAACCCTAAACCCTGAACCTTAAACCCTAAACCCTAAACCCCAAACCCCAAACCCTAAACCCTGCACCCTAACTGAGGCTCTCAGCGGCTTTCGAGACGACGGGCTTTGCAGCGCCGTGGTTCAGATGACGAAGCTCCGGAGTAGTTGGGGTTTCAGGGTTTCCAGGGTTTAGGGTTTCAGGGTTTAGGGGTTTGGGGCTTGGGGTTTTGGGTTTAGGGTTTAGGGTTTAGGGAGGGTTTAGGGTTGAGAGGGTTTAGGGGGTATGTCCCAAAATACGGGTACCCCAAAATCTGAGCCCCAACGTGTTGTATTCCTTTTCCTGGCAAAACCCCCCAAAAAGTTCGGGTACCCCGTATGTTGGGAAACCCCCACCCACTTCTGAATATTGTTTCCACAACCTCGATATCACGAATCATGTTTCTGTCTACCTTCGTTCATAACATGAAGAAGATGATGAGAATCATCCAGAATCGGCTCATCGTCGAATCGTCGGGTGTCTGAGGTCAGGTCCTGGACTGGTGGTTAGCAGGGTGCTAAGGAACCCTCAGCACCAACTTCTTGATAACCTCTTCACCATAAACTCGTAACCCCTGACATCCCGCCCCCTCAAAATAAGCGAAGCACTGCAATCCTTATCAGAGAAATCCAAGAATTGGTAACCCTGCGCCCTAAGCCCTGAAATTTCGGAGACCCCATACTATTGGTAACCCTACGCCCGAAACCCTATAAACCCTAAACCCTATAATCCCTATGAATCCAATAAACCCTATAAACCCCATACACCCTACAAACCCTATAAACCCTACAAACCCTAAAACCCCTAAAAACCCTACAAACCCTAAAACCCCTAAAAACCCTACAAACCCTACAAACCCAAAAACCCTACAAACCCTACAAACCCTAATCAGAGGCCCCTCACCCAGGTGATCACTGGCCACGGCGTGCCCAAGGACGTCGTCGATGCCGTGCGGACGGGCGGGCGCTTCCGGCCTGTCGTAGACCTTAGTTTAGGGTTTAGGGTTTAGGGTTTAGGGTTTAGGGTTTAGGGTTTAGGGTTTAGGGTTTAGGGTTTAGGGTTTAGGGTTCATATCTGTTCATATACTTTGTAACTTACTAATTAGGAACTATTAGTAGTATAAGGATAGAATGACCCCCCAACTCTAGTGTTCATTTGGTCTCACAGGGTTTCGTCAAACCCAGGATGCCTGGTCCTGGAGACCCATACGGGGGTTACGAAGATAGGGGGCCGCTAAAGTAGACCCCAAAAAGCAGGTTTAGGGTTTAGGGTTTAGTGTTTAGGGTTTAGGGTTCCCACGAAGGTAACCCCGCAATTTTCTGAAACCCCCAATATTGAGCCTGGATCTCTCAATGCCCCCGCTGACTAAGTGCCCCAGGTACAACTTCTTCCGGCAAGAGGTTGAAGAGAAGAAGCGCTTCGTCACTGGCCTTGAACAACACATGCTGCGGGTCTCGCTTGAATGTCTTGCATCACTTCAGAGATCATAGCAACTTGAACCTGGCCGCGAAGTCTGTGCCTGTTGACATCAGAAGCGTTCGGACTTCAGAGATGTCAGATTCATCTTCTGGCACTAGAGTGGGAGGGAGAGGGCGAGAGGGAGAGAGAGAGAGAGAGCGACGAATTCCAGCGCTTGTGTGTTGGCCAACAGACACTTCGAGGCAGTAAAAATCGCTGCTCCCAGGACAAGGGAAAGGGCTACGGCTTCGGTGGCTACGTCAGCATGCAGGCGGGTTTTCCAAGCCCCGTCATGACTTGGTGCCTTAAGCCCTAAGCCCTAAGCCGTGCCGCAAGCATCCCTGGATTTGTAAAACGCTTTCGCCCCCTTCTTTCAGGAGAACGGGGCCCAACTTCTGGGCGATTTCTCAAGGACGGGAGCTGGTTCTTTGGTTACCCTAAACCCCAAACCCTAAACCTTAAACCCCAAACCCTAAACCCCAAACCCTAAACCCGAATTTCTAGGGGCCTGGTGTTCTGGACTCTTCGCTCCTTGGGGTGCCATCTCTTGCCTTGTTCTACTTAGGCTTTAGGGCTTCGGGTTTAGGGTTTGCTGTAGGGTTTAGGGTTAAAGGTTTAGGGCTTAGCCATGTTGAACCATAAACCCTTGTAGGGCTCAGGTATTGGGGTCCTTATTACCCTTACTACAAGTACTCTTAAGGCAATATGAGGCATAAACCCTTCTTGGGTCTCATTTGGTCCCCTAGGGTCGGTGTTAAGGGAGACCCTGGACCCAGGACCCAGGAGTAGCAGAGTGAGTTCCAGCGAGCACAGCATCAGCCAGCACAACTTACCCTTCAGAAGCAGCACGGTTGACGTACGTGCTGTTTGGCATTGGGCGAAAGGAACGGTTCACAAGTCTGTTAGGATTTGGGCGAAAGGAAGGTTCATAAGTTCGACGAAGGAATCAGGAGTTATATTAGTCCTCAAAATTATGGTCCCTTTCTTTTTTTTTTGGGGGGGGGGGGGGGGGGGTTATGTACGATTATAAGTTATGATACTAGCCCCAAGGAGGAACTATTCACTTCGACCTCAAACGGGACCATAATTTAGAGAATCCCCCGAATAATAGATCTAAGGTTAAAGCCGTGGGCCCTTAGTATGGTCCCTCTGCCTCTTAGTCTCACGAGCGTCGTCATGTCAATGTGGATGTACAGCACCGACGAAGTTTCGAAGAGACGAACGAGGGCTTGGGCGACGACCAGCAAGCGCACTTCAAAGCTCAAGAGACCCCCCCCCCCCCCACAAAAACACAAAACCCTAAACCCTAAACCCTAAACCCCAAACCCCAAACCCTAAACCCTAAACCCTAAACCCGAAACCCCCCTCCGTGCTTTCCAGGCCCAACGACGCCGTGGAGTCGCTCACAGCCGGGTTGGCTGGCTTGGCGGGCGGCGTCGAGGCCTCCAAACGCTACGTGATAAGTTATATGAAACAGGGTTTAGGGTTTAGGGTTTAGGGTTTAGGGTTTAGGGTTTAGGGTTTAGGGTTTAGGGTTTAGGGTTTACTGTTCTGGGTGAGTGTATATAGGGTTCCTTTTTAATATTGGTGAGTGTATATATTTGGTGTCCTTTTGGGGGTACAAGAAATATGAACCCTACTTCATATAAACGCACTGTATTGTAATTGTACTAGTAAAACCCTAAACCCTATATCTTCAGGGGCTTAATATCTTAATCTCTAGCCCCTATGTGATGAAGCTGAAGCTGAAGAAGGCTGCGCAGGTGCTTTACAATGTACAAAACAAACAGGGGGGTTGGCAATGGATCTCCGTACGACACCCTAACCATGACCCAGCAGACTCAGTAGAGTTTAGGGTCTAACTCGGGTTTACAGACACTTGGGCATACGAACGTCCGAGAAGGCCTGGCGAAGAAGCCAAGAGAAGCTTTCCACCTGCAAAAGGCAGTTCAGATGGAGAAGGTGCGGAAGGAAGACTCCGGCTCCACCGGCGTTTGCCATGCGAAGGACGCCTCATTGCCTCCCAGGTTGCGCGTTGCGCATAATCCCTAGAGCCATCCTTAATGTTCTCCATCATTTGGGATTTCATCCCTCCAGCCCAAAGCTTTGAAGCTGGACTTGCATCTGAGCTTGGAGCAAACAAGACGTCGACTTGCAATTCGTGGGCGCATTCGGGGTCTGTCGAGATGTCCCGCGTGATGTTGCAGGTGACACAAGGGCGGGGGGGGGGGGGGGCACCTCCCATGACTGGAGTGCACATCTCTCTAGCTCTTCCGGCAGTGATGACCACTTAAAGCCCTGAACTGTTTTCTTCTAAGCAAACAGCCTGCGCCCGGGCTTTCTAACCTCTATGACTTTTAACCCCAGAAAGAAAAGGCCGCCTAAGCTTCTACGATCCCTAAACCTCTAAGGCCCTAAACCCTGGAAACCCTAAGAGCCACCTCTCATGACAGCTCCTTCCCTCCCCAAGGATCACCCTAAACCCTAAACCCTAAAACCCTAAACCAGGATCTCAGCGGTTGCGAGATGGAGGAGGGCACCCCGGAGGTGGTTGCCAGGCGACCGGGGGGTCCACAGGCGTTTAAGGGGGGTCTTATGGGGAAGGGTGCAGAGGGTACAGGCCTCCAATTCGGAGTTTTTTACGTACAGATTGGATAGGGGCCCTTTTTGCGGGGGTTTCGGGATTTCAGGGATGTAGTGCTTTAGGGCTTAGGGTATTTTGGGGGGTTTAGGGTATGGGCATTTTGTTCAGCGTAGCGCCGCCCTCAGTAGTAGGAGTCGGTTAGACTGTCCAACCTGGGCCCCACACCTAGCTCACAAGCTTGTCCGCGAACGGTGCGACTCAGCTTTCAGGGGGTTCGGGTTTAGGGCGAGGCTTGAGGGGGTCATGAGGCAAGCAAGGATAGGCAAAGCTGCCGCCGAAGGCCCGCTACCACGTTCCTCCGGGCGGTCGAGAAAGTAGCCAGGCCGGGTCTACGTGGAGGAAGTGAAAGATGTGGGGGGGGCTTCCGAAAATAGGGGTAGCCGATTTTATACAGTCTTTTGGGGTTTTTGCGGCGTACCCCTCTTTTCGGAGATGCCCATGTGGTGGGCTTGGGGTTGCGCCCAAGCCGTGACGACTGCGCAAGGTTGGCGGCGAAGGCGCTTCAGCTGTCCCTTGGTGCCACGGACGAGGTGGCCCTGGAAGCGCAGCATTGTCGTACTTTTGTAAGGCAAAATGTAGCAAGTATGATCAGAACTGTAATATAGAGTGTTCTAACTACTGCAGTTACATCGTGCTAGGGCTGTTCTTTGTCATCGGAGCGAACACAACTCGTCGAAGAGCCGAGCTCGGAAGCGGCGCATACAAAAAATTATGGTTTAGGGTTTAGGGTTTAGGGTTTAGGGTTTAGGGTTTAGGGCCCCTTCGAGTCCTAAAAGGAAACCCCAACAAAGCCCCCCGGAGATTCGTCGGCACGAAGTCCCAGGAGCTGGACTTGGTGATGACGCCCTCCGCCGGCGGCCTCCGCCTGGCATACTACCCCTCTGTGACCGAGGCGCGAGCGCCGGTGCCTTAGGGTACCAGGATGGCTGCTTGTTGTTTTCAAAAAAATGTGTGTTGTTTCTTATCTCGTATGTGTTGTTCTTACTGCGATTCTTCTCCTTTATCAGGTATTGATATATCATGTATACATATGTATATATATATATGTATGTATCACATACATGGCTCGTACTTTTTGTGTTTGTTATATTGCATTCACTGTCACTATTGCTATTGATATTCGTCTTAGGAACATTAGAATTTTAGTAGAAATACATGGCTATATTTGTGTTTTTAGTGCCTTACTTGTTAAAAGACGGTCTACCGGCTCGGCCGTGCGAAGCATTTTTCGCGAGCGAGGGACCTGCAGCGAACCGATCAGAACTCATTCGCTTGTACCTCTCGCTGCGTCCCGCTGTGTCCCAGATGTGGGACCCCGCCTAAGCAAGACCAGAGCTGCCTGCTGCCTTTGCTGAGGCACTCAGGGTTTAGAGGTTGGGGTGGCGTGCAGCCTCTTCAGAAATCAGGGAGGCAACAATGATTCCGCGCGGCACCCAAACGGAGGCCCAGGGCCCCTTAAGCAAGGCACCCAAACAAACGGTGGGACGGGGGTTGGCTTCAGGGTCACGGTCATGAGAAGATGGTGCGACCCACCGGGCCGGGAAAGGAGCATGTGTATGAGTGTGTGTGTGGGTGGGTGTCTGTGCATCATCTCAACACGCACTGCACACGCACTGCCCTTCTGGAATCTCAGCAGCAGCTTCGAAGCGAGAGCCTCGAAACCTCTCCGAGCCGTGGAGGCAGCTACTGACGACCTGATGGGCTACGGCTCGCACATCGACTCCGGCGGCGTTCCCGGGCTTCGCAAGTCAGGGTCTAGGGGTTTAGGGGTTTCGGGGTTTAGGGGTTTAGGGGTTTAGGGTTTAGGGTTGAGGGTTGAGGGTTTAGGGTTTAGGGTTTAGGGTTAGGTGAACCGGGCCCTGACATGGCCCTCACGCCCGAAACGCCCTAGCACTCCCGCAGGACCTTAAACACAAACCTAAGCATCCCCAGGACCTTAAACGAAACAAACCTAAGCCTTAGACCTAAGAATCCCCCAGGGCCTTTAAACAACAAATACCGGGTAGAATGTGCAGGTCACCGTCATTGCCTTGGACCCTGCCAACAAGAGAGGGCTGCAGGCCCACTCGCAAGGAGCAATGTAGCGGGGGGAGGGCTTAGGGTTTAGGGTTTAGGGATAGGATTTTGGGTTTAGAAGAGAAGAAGCCCCTCGTCATCTCTCTAACACCCCCAGTGGCACCACTAATTCCTTCACCAAGAGGGTTAGGCTGGGCTCCCCTGCGAAGCTTGAGATTCCTCCCCTGGCCTCTGCACCCAGCTGCCACTCTCCACTTCACCGCACCCCTGCGCTCCACAGGTGGATGTCAGTGATCGTGTTGGCAGCACGGGTCGCGAAGAGGCCGCAAACCACCGGGGGGGGGGGGGTATAATTGATGCCGGGGTCTCACCTCCGGCTTGGCAGAGACTGTTGCGAGTTCTTCCAAAGAGACCTTGGCGAAGGTTCAACCAGTACGGTGTAAGTCCAAGCAACATCTGAAAACCCTAAACCCTAAACCCTAGACTACACACAGCACCCGAACTGCAGAGGCCTCCGAATTGCAGCCCACTGTCAGGATCGGCACTGGGTTGACGTGCCGTTTGTTCCCAACACCTTTGCGCCCTGGGCTCTATCGTCTGAAAGGTTGACTTCGAAGTATGCTATGTTTTTTGGAGATTATTGGAGGGGGGGGGGGTTGCTGCTCCAAGCATCTTGCCTTGTATGTCAGGCTGTATGTGGGGCGTTTGAGTTGGATTTGGGGATTCTGCTTTGAACAAGAGCTCTTCTGTCACTCGCCTGTCGCCCCTCTTTGCTGGCGCGACACTGCATCTCCGCGAGTGTGACGTGGAGGAGGAAAAACGAAAGAGGTGGTGCATGTCCGGTAGCAGGTAGCAAAACAATTCTTCATCAAAGCTTCGCCCAGCGAGCTGCCCCGCCATTGTTTCCCCTAAACCCTATAAACCCTATATAAACCGTAAACCATAAACCCTAAACCCTTAATTAAACCCTAAACCAGGTGCTGAATGTCGGGGCCCTGCTGTCGCGCTGGACCGGTGGGCGCTGGAAGGCCTCCGTCCACCGCAGCTCTGGCACTGTTTGGGGTGACTGGGTTCTTGGGGCCACTGCGGAGGTATGACACAACCCTAAATAAACCCGACATGTCCTGCAACATCCCTAACTATCCCTCAATATCCCTAAATATATCTCCGACCCTAATCCCAAACAGCAGAGTACCACGGATTGCCCCCAAGATGTCCCTCAGGTGCCTTCAACGTTTCAAAAGTGACCCCTTGGGTCCCCCACACTTGACCCAAGGAGTTCTGGCAAACCGCCAGTCGCACGAGCGCCTGTCAATCATCACGGGCGCCCTGTCACCGAAGGCCTGAGTTTTGGGGGGCTTAGGAATTCTCCCACCTTGAAATCTCGGAAAAGAAACATCTACCAAGCGCTAGCGTGCTGAATGCCTCCCTAAACCCTCAACTCACGCCCCCTGCCCAATCGATCCCTCTTGAGCAAGTTGACGCAGATCGACGCGCCGCCCTTCGCTGGCTTCGCGGCCACGAACCCATCGCTGCCACCAGTTCCTGCGCGGGAGTTCCTGACCACTAGGCTCCACGGGCGGCCAATCAGTAATTGGGACTTCTGGTTGGGAAGGGTTCTGGGTGGGAAGGATTTGTTGGGGGCTTTTAGCAGTTTAGGGGCTCACGCCCTGCAGCGAAGCCACAGGAGGGTCTCAAAGCGGGAGGGTGGATTTGGCAAGAGCCGGTGCTGCGGGTCTGGGGCTGCTAATTCTACACGCTTGCGCGCGCCGCCTCGGCAGCGCGGCCAGCCCACATCCCAAGGCCCAAGAAATTCGAAAAAGCCTTTGCTCACAAGGCTTTAGGGGCTGTGTTAAGGAGGGTCCCAAGGAGGTGTTGAGGGTCAGGGCCGGAGGGAGGGTCCAGGGGGGCAAGGGGGGTTCCCAGGGGGTCTCAACCAGGAGGCCCCAGGGAGCGTCCCAGAATTAAAGCATGTTCCAGAATATCGTTTAATCAAGCTGCATCAGGTGCACGCAGCATCGGTCTGCGGCCCCTGAAAGTGATCCGGGGAATCCCACACACCGGAGAGGTTGGGAAGGGGAGAAGGGGACCAGAGAGCCTGCTTGTTCTAGACGCCTCTCAGAGCTGGAAGCGGCGAATGAAAACATCGGATGGCATGTGAGGAGCCAGAGGCCCCCAAACAAAGATTGTCCACAGCTCGATCTTGTGGCCGGGGGGGGGGGGTGACTGGAAGTAGGGAGAACTGAAGGATGCAAACTGAATCCCTGTTTCTTGAATGTTCTTGATCGGGAAGTAGGCCTTGCGGGCACCTCAGACCCCTTCTTAAGATCCTAGAAATGCCAGGGTCGACCTCCACCGGCCGGAGTATCGCGAAGAGAGAGGCCTCAACTCGCCCGAGGCGGCCCCACTCTTGGGTGAATTTTCGTCACTCTTGCGGGCCAGTCTCGCTCGTGTGAGGTGTGTGCTCTTTCAGTACATACTCAGTGCGTGTTCCTTTTTAGCGTGAGAGGGCAGAGGCGTTTTTGGAGTCTGCACTTCTCCAGCGCAAGAGTGGACTAGTCTGCGCCTGTCTGCGCTTTAAGGCTTTAAGGCATTGTAGGGCTTAGAGGTTTCTCACTGCCGGAGGCCTTGGCAGCTGAAAGCGCGCGCATCCGGGAACTTCAAATTTAAAGGCCAGCGGGCTGATCTGGGGATGATGATCGCGAGTCACGGTGAGTCACCTCCATGCTTTGGCTGTCCATCTGAAACCAGAATTTACAAGCACCCCCCCCCTTTCTGTTGGATGCTTTGGAGCGAGGGTAGGTACCCAGAACACGCCAAGATGACGAGAAGCCTTCGCGCGACCGCGATAAGATGCCCCCTTGCCTGCGCTGCGTGTCAAGGACGTGGCGTTGGGGACGTTTGGTCCTGAGCGATTTAGCCGGCTCGCCAGTCCACCCGTGCCTGGAGAGAGTGCTAAAAGTTGAGCTTCAGAGAGCTCGAGCCTTAGATGCCCCAAGCGCTATAGGGTTCTTAAGGGAGGGGGGTTCATGGCGGGTAGGTATCTAGGGAAGACATACCCCGCTTGAACCGCCCTCACTATAATTGTGCCTTTTGTCATGCCGTAGTCGTTGTTGACCAGCTCAAGTCTCGCAAGTTGCTGGCTTCAAGAGGTGTCGAGAGCTGCCTCGTGTGTTCCACACGTGTTCAGCACATGTCAAGCAACCATTGCCCTGAGATCCTCAAGAGTGCGCACCATCACACACTCCAAATCAGACCAACCAACGAGAAGCTGCAAATTGGCAATGAGGTGCAGATGCTCCCGAATTCTAGGGTTGTCAAGCGCGTGGCGTCACGGGCATTTGGGCTTCGGCGATTTCGCCGGAGGAGTTTGCTGAAACGTTGAGCTTGGGCAATGCAAAGTTGGGTCACCATGGGGTTGTTGTTAGATGCTGCTATCCCCCCACACGGCCCCCCACACGCACCGCAACTTGAGCCGTCCCACTTCGTTGACCAGCTCACTGTGGGATTTCAGGTTCGTGTATGAAATTCAATCACAAAGCTACATAAGTGGTCTTGTGGACTGCATGACTGGAGATTCCTAGTTAAGGGGTCATTTAGTAGTCTTTATGACTGGAGATTCCTTGAGTTCGATGGCGGCCTCCGACGAGGCATCTTAGTCGTTTTTCACAGGACATTTTGCACAGGACATGGAAGCAGTGCATTGGATGGGGCGAGAGATTCGTATCGCCACCGATGCCTCCATGGGGGTTGCTGGTCGACCCTGGCAGGCGCAAGAGGTGGCAGCGCGCTTGGCGGTGGCGCTGCCACGAGAGGAGCCGGTACTGGAGCTGGGCAGCGGATGCGGAGGCTTAGCAGCTTTTCTGGCGCTGGAAGGTTATCAGGTCGTAGCCACCGATTTTGCGGAGTGCTCGCCGCTCGTCACGCAGACTGCCCAGCTTAACGGAGTCCACGTGGCCTTCCACACGCTGCCGTGGGGCGATCTCGACGCCATGGAGGGCGCGTTGAGGTTGTTAAGCGCCTCCAGGTTGAACCTGGTAGCATGCGAGGTGGCGTATTGGGGTGGCTGGTCCATTCTGGAGGAGGACCCCTTAGAAGCCTTGGTGGAGACCTTGTCCTTCTTCTTACGGAAGTTGAAGGGCAGCTGCTTGCTGGTCTACGAGTCTCGCGAGCGCCCACGGGAGCACCGGCTCTTCGAGCTGCTGGCCTTACATCACCTGGAGTGGAGCTGTTTGAAGGAGCCCCTGCAGGAGGGTGACGTGGGAGCATGGCTGCTGAGGAGTGAAGGGAGTGAAGAGAGGAATGAAGAAAGCGCGCTGCGGAAAAAAGCTCTCATGTTGCAGGGCTTCAGCAGCTTTGGTGTCGGCAGGCCACAGTGCTTCTCCGTGCTCACCCACAGATGCAATGGTCAGGCTCATAGCACTTGGCATATTTTCGCATGCAGAGCTGAGAACTTGGGATTCGCCTACCTCGCAGTCAAGGTTCACAGCACGTTGCAGGAACTTGCAGATGGCAGAACCACTGGAACCACTACGTACATGCCGCAAAAAAGTTATACACCCAGCAAGGATGCGTTTCGTTGAAATGTCACATCCTGCCCTGCACTTGCCGCAGCAAGTGACAGATGTCACCAAAAGATACCACAAGCTCGAGGCCAGCAGTTCCCCTTGCAGGTGCCTGAGGGCCACAGGCCGTAGCCGTAGCCATGAAGTTGAGCTGCGACGCGGAAGACAGCGATGAGGAGGCGAGCGGTTCTGGATGCTTGTGAAGAATGGTCTTAAATGCTTGGACGTCAGACCTGCGACTTACCTCGACGTCTCAAACGAAAGGAAGCGTCTTGAACGTCTTGAACATCCCACACCTAAGGGGCCCTACCCGGAAGGGGGGTGGGAAGAATATTGTAAGCCTGAAGCCAAAGACTGTTATGGGCCTGGGCCCCAAGGAGGCGGAGGAGGAGGAGGAGGCCGCGCTCGCACAGCGCGTCGAGGACGCTTCCCAAAGGGCTCAATCGAATGTTTGGGGAGGTTTGCGTCTTGAGATGTCTTGAGTTCAGGTTGTTTTGGCAAGTGCTAGTATACTAGTGCTATGAATTGTACAAACACAGCAAAGAATGTCAGAAAATATAGAAAATAATACTAACAACAAGTTGACTCTAAGAAGCCAGGCACCTGCAGAGCAGTTGACAAGCCAAAAGAAGAGTGAGCCGACCCTAAACCCTAAACCCTAAACCCTAAACCCTAAACCCTAAACCCGATGATGCTCCCAGGCCTTGAAGGAGGCAATCAAGGAGGGCAACGTGCAGCTGCCTGGCCTGGGGGGCTGAGATGCTTTAGGGTATAGGGCTTAGGGTTTAGGGTTTAGGGTTTAGGGTTTAGGATTTAGGGTTTAGGGTTTAGGGCTTGGCGTTCAGGGTTTATGGGTTTATGGGTTTAGGGTCTAGGGTCTCATGAGGCCTTCAGAATCTTTCATGGCATGTTGTGTGCATCGAGCTGTACAAGTTCCATTTCAGGAAATATTGAGCACTTGAGATGAGTGGTGTGTAAGAATAACAATAGCAAGAGTCGTAATTATAATAAAAAATAATAATAGTCATAATATATTCAAAATCACAATAAAAAAAAGTAGTAATACTAATAATATTAATCAGAATAATAATAATAATAACCATAATAATAATAATAGTAGGATTTGGAGATGTTGTCGGGATCCGAGGTTGGTGGAGGACTTGCTGGAGAACGGCGCCGACATCCAGCATCGCTACGCCAACGGCCTCACACCGCCCCCCGGAAGCTTTTGTCATTGTACTGATACTGTAATGATAAAAATAATAATAGTAATAATAATAATAATTCTTATACTGAAAATATTAATTGATTATACTAATTATAATAACAATGATAACAATAATCATCATCATAATCATAATCATAATCATAATCATAATAACAATCTCTTGAAGGGCTGCAGCTTGTGGCTGCGTAAGCCTCAGAGTTTGAGGAGTAGGTGGCGAGCGCAGGGCTGGAGAGGATTTGGTTTTGGGAGCAACTCGCTTTTGGAACCCTGGCTTCTCCTGCATGATGGCTGTTTTCAATAAAGTCCTCATGCCTTTGACTTGACATATAAGGAATGCCACGTGGGAGGTGCGTTCCTTGAAGAGCCATACAGGGCCGGCCATAGATTTCTTTCAGATGTCTATCCCTGACAACGCCTGAACATACCCGTGCATCGAATGGCCCAAGTACCACAAGAAGCTTCATTCTTGTCTTCTGTCCAGTACACCCCCAAGCCCTTTAGGGTGGCTAAGGGTAGAGTCATAGAGCATCGCCCGCCCAAGGTTGCATCTGGTCAGGGCCCAAGACAGGGATTGTGGAGACGGAGGATACCATAAGATTCCTCCCGTCGTTGCAAAGTATGGGATCTTTTGGAACAAGTTGGCTCGGAACCCTATAAACCCTAAGCCCTCAACGCAGAGTGGATTCTCAAGTTCGGGACATCCAAGCAAAGGAAAACTTCGTCTCTCTTTGCACAGGCCGTCGTCCACGAGAGGCTCAACGTTGCGGCGGCCTCGGTGAATCCGAAGTCTCCAGTTTTAGAGTTGCATATAGGGTTCAGGGTTTAGGGTTTAGGGTGCTCTGCGAAGAATCACTTCACCATAGAGACAACGTCGAGACACACATGATGCGGTGCGGGCTTTAAATCTCTCGCGTCGCTCTCCATGCTTCGTGAGGTACTTCTTTGCATAACCCATGCTAGACTGAAATCGAAAATCGTCCATGAATAACATACCGTATCACCCATAGTAGAAGATAGTACTCTACAGTATCACCCAGAACACAGTATCATCCACAGTAGAAGAGAATACTCTACAGCATCACCCAGAATAGAAAAGTACCCTAAACCCTAAACCCTAAACCCGGTAGAAACATGAGGTTCGGCTCTTGGTCCTCAGCCGTGCGGACCCTCTGGCGAAGACCACCGAGCCCCGGAAGCGAAGTGGGGTTTAGGGGTTTTAGGGTTTGGGGTTTAGGGTTTAGGGTTTAGGGTTTCGGGTTTAGGGTTTAGGGTTTAGGGTTTCGGGTTTAGGGTTAAGGGTTTTGGGATTTGGGCAGATTTGGAGAGCCTGGGCAACAGAGGCCTGTGGCGTTGACAAGCACGCCTTAAAGTAGAAACACAAGCATGTAGGGTGTAGTAACCAGGGGCACGCAGTTTCTTTAGTGGGCTTCATCAGATGACCCCAAACCTTCAAAAAGGTGGGAGCTGCATGCACTTGCTGTATCGGCGTATAGATGCTCCTGCAAACGTGAATCACACGTCTTCAGACTCATGGGTCATCAACATCGCTGTAGTTAGGTGCTACCCGCCCTACATCCCTGACTCCTTTTCGCAGTGCTGGCTGCCAGTCTCACTTAGACGCCCAGTGCGCGAGCCGAATGTCCAAAGTGCTCACCATCCGCACGGCGCTCAGTGATGACGGCCGCCTGGACGTGGAATGTGCCAGCATGGCAGGGGGGAGGCTATGTGCAGCGAGTCTACCACACAAGTCCACGGTTGAAGACGTGGTGGAGGCCCTCAAGCCCCAACTGGGGCTCCCAAAGGCCTATTTCGACGTGTATGTAGCTGGTGAGATCATTCTGGACCGGTGCCAGCTGGCCTGTTCCCACAAGGAGCTCATAATCTCAGAAGACTCCTTGGGGCCGCCTCGAAAGTTTCTGGCGGCTCTTTCCAAGAAGGCTTTCGACCCTAACTCCCACCACTTTGATCAGAAATGGACCGAGAGAACAGCGCCAGATGTGGATCAGGCGGAGGTGGCGCGCTTCCTGGAAGACTTGGGTTTGTCTAGCCATGAAGAAGCCGTCCGACTCATGAGGGTTCTGGGATGTCTCACGTCCATTGCAGAGAGCTGGAACATGTTCAACCTGGAATATCTGCAGAAGTTCGAGCCGGGCATCAAAACCTTCAAGCATGCCCTTTGCGAGCACTGGCTGCATGTGGCACGGAACGCAGCGAAGCAAAAGGTGTCGCGCGACCCTGGGCCACTGTTTCTGCCCTGTTTGGACGGGCGTGGCTGCATTTTTAGGGTTTCGCTTTTCGGCGCGGACGCGGCTTTTCCTCAGTCTGTCGGAAGACCCCTGCAGGGCTCTCTTTCCAAGGCAAACGTGCGCCCCCAACACCGGCTGGGGGAGCTGATGCTTGCGTCAGCCTCTTTGGATTCCGATGCCTCCGAAATCTCGAGTGAGGTGGTGAGGGAGGCATTTCGTTCTTGGCAGCTTGATGTCGTCCTGGAACCTCGCCCATCCCCGGAGGATGTGGTGAGAATGGCCCACGTGCAGCTGCTTCTGTCCTGCAACGTTGGGCCCGTGGAGGTGGAAGGGAACTTGCCGGCCAACTTGGTGCAGCACGTGGCGGCGGCGCTGCGCTGGCATGTGCGCGTGCTTCGCTTTGGCATCGACCCGTTCGCTGACAAGGCCTTGGCGCAGCACCTGGAGCAGGCGATGCAGGTAGCCTTTGAAGGCCGAGGGCGCTTCAGAGGCGTGTCTTGGCCTTAAAAATGGTCTCTTCTTGCCTTTGAAGCGGAAACGATGTAGAGGCGTCCTTCAATGTCCCCCCCGCCCCCCCCCCCCCCCCCCCCCCCCAAAGCCCAAGTACCCCCTAAAGCCCCCCACAGTAGGTGCTCCTACTTGTGCTGGATCTACCCGACAGCAATGACCTGCATGGTCCATGCCAGCAGTTGGCCCAGAACTTTGCTGAAAGCATGCCGGCTCCTTGAGCTGATCTAGGATTTTGAGGGAGTTGAGGGTTTTGTGATATCATTCCTTTTCGTAACATAATGTTGTTGTATTGCCATTTGCTTATATTTCTATACTCCTTTATTCTTTTTTGTCGTATCTTTTAGTATATTACGAGACGATCATACAGCCTAATGTCCATACTCGTATACTAATTGGTTGATGGACCCAGTTACAGGTTCGCTTCATCATTTGCACCAGGCCGCCTGAGCGCATTTCGGCTTAGGCCTGGGGAGTACATGAGCCCTGCAGAGTTTATGGCCAGCTAGAGGGTTCATTTGGTCCCGTGAGGTAGGCTTCAGTGTTTAGATTGCGCCGCCGAACTTGGCGAAGCGACTGGGGTGTGAGGAGCATGCTCCCTGCAGTACGTGTACAGTGACAGGCGGTAAGGGTGAAACGCCTGACGATCAAGAAACCCTGGATCATAAACCAAGTCGACAATTCTCCAAGTTACTAAAGTCCTTTATAGGAACCCTCAAGAAAGGTGACTCAGTTTTCGGAAACCCTCAAGTCGAGACGTGACCTGATCTTCAGGCCCCGGGTCCAAAGTTTAGGCCGCCGGTCATCTCACCGCAGAAGAAGCAGCAGTGGCCCAAAAAAGGGCAAAAGGTGCTGGGAGCAGTGGTGGAGCTTTCATGGTAAAGTTTGCTCTTGAGGGTTTAGGGTTTAGGGCATAGGGCATAGGGTGATGAAGAGCGATGAGGATGGGGGATTCAATGGGATGCCCCGTGGTACGGTGCACGAGTGCACGAGACGCCTGAGTGAGTTTTCAGTTCTAGGAGTATCCAAACCTTTAACCCATAAATCCGATAAACCCTGAACCAGAAGCCCAAACCTAGGGCCTAAACCCTAAGTTCCCCAAACCCGAACACCCCCGAAGACCTTCTAAAGCCCCCGAAGCTTTGGGCCTAAGCCTTAAACCCCTAAACCCCGAAACCCCGAAAACCCTAAACCCCGATCCGCACTGATAGCGAGGATGATGTGGGGATGACACCGCTGGACATTGCCAACCTCGAGGGGCAGCAGGCTCCGTGGAATTCTCTAAGCCTAGCGGAGCTAGGGCTTAGGGTTCTGGAATTCGGGGCTTAGGGTTTTCTTTTAAGGTTTTGGGGTTTTAGGGTTCAAGTGTTTTGGGCTTAAGGACGTCTAAGGTTTGGGTGTTTTCGGTTGGATTTTGAGGATGCAGGTTTAGGCAGTTTTTTGGGGTTTGGGGTTTAGGCGTTTTTTTTTTGGGGGGGGGGAGGGCGGGGAATATTCGGGAAAGCAAAACTCTCTAGCCAACAGGCGCAGGCTCACGGTTGTGAGGGTTTAGGGCCTTAAAGGGCTTCGGGCCCCGGGCGTGGCTTATGGCTTTAGGTTGGGTTAGGTCCTAAAAGTTAGGACAAGTTAGGGCCCAGGGTCAAGAGTTTAGAGTTGCTTTAAACCCTAAACCCTAAACCCTAAACTCAGATCTCTTCTACGCAGGACATCTTCAATGCCCTCTGCGAGGAGGCTCTGCCACATCCCTTCTGGAGGCGCCGGCATGCGAGACATGTTTGGGGTTTAGGGTTTAGGGTTTGGGGTTTAGGGTTTGGGGTTTAGGGTTAGGGTTTAGGGTTTGTTCAAGAGGCCCTAAGTAAGCCCTAAAGACGTCGGACCCCTAAAGTGATGAGTGGGGTCTGTGAAACCAAACACAACATGCTGACTTCGACCGCGCTTCAGTTCAAGGTTTTGATCATAGCGATCTCTGACTGTCGCCCGACACCCCAAGCTTGAACAGCTCAGGCCTCAGACAACGCTCTGACACCTGAAGGGTGTCCCAACATCTCCCGTGTGTGAAGTAGCAGCCGGGAGGGCCACCCGTCAGCCCGAAGTCCGAAACCCCATCAGTCCTTGGGCTCGTTTCCCCCCCCCCCTTTAGGGTTTAGGGTTTAGGGTTTAGGGTTTAGGGTTTAGGGTTTAGGGTTTAGGGTTTAGGGTTTAGGGCGAGGTGCCCTCTAAAACCGCTAAACAGGTTCCAGGTTCTACCATGATTCTACAACAGATCCCCCAAGCCATGTCTCTTGCGAGGCGCTTCGCAGGACCCCTGTGCCTGCTGCTGATTGTCGACGCTCGTTTCTGGAGCTTCTGCCTGGGCCGGGGAAGGGGCGCAGGGGGGGGGGGGGGTTCGCATAATTTTGATTTCTACGGGGGAGAACCTTGCTTAAACTTAGGGGTGTGGTAGATGCACAGGCGTCTGCTTCGGACTACAAAAGGGGACACTATGCACACCTGCTACCCCCCCTTTCTGCCAATCCGAGGCAGTGAACGGCGGGATCTTCCTCTACCTCAACGAAGCAAACCTGGCGTCTCCCAGCTCCCTTTGATTGCAAGGGTCTCGAGAGTGTTGGAATGCGACGGCTGTTTAGTTGTGACGAATAGTAGATATTAGAAAATGGCGAATAGACTGCGTATTACATTTCCTGTATGCATATATATATATATATATAAACTGGGATTGAAATGGCTTGGGGCAGTGCCGGAGCCAGGTACCTACAAGTTTGGCATAGTTCGGCCCTCGCCCGAGCCTGTGTCCCTAAGACCAAGATCCCGCGTCCGAAGGCCACGTGTAGAGAAAAGTTCGGGCACAAACCGAAGGTTCTGCTCTGTGTTGTCAGGGGACGCTACTTGTAGGTGTGTGTGATCGGCTACATGTAATGTAAGGACGTTGTAGCCCAGCAAGGTTCCAGACGAGCAGCAGCTACAAGAACTGCATCATCGTACTTGCAGCTGAGCGGCATTCAGGATATTCGGGATGGCTGATCTTTCAGTGACAGACCCTACCAGAGCAAGAAGCCCCGAAACCCCTTCACCCTTTCACCTTCATTGAAGAGCTGAGCGCCTCCTTAGGGGCCTTGTAACCGACCACGCATGTGGCTCGGGGTGGGGGGGGGGGGTGGGTGATTCAAATTCAGGGCACAAGGAAGTATGAGCATTAGAAGAGTGGCCGAAAGGGCCCATGACACTCATGCTTAGATCCAAGTTTCCTGAGACACATCCACGCCAAGGCTTTCGCTTGCATCATCGGTCTGGTCTCTTGGCATTGTCTGGGAGACTTCTCAGTCAAGCGTGTGCAGCATACGGGAGGTCTTAGGACGAGCTTTCCCGAAGTTGTCTGACAAACTTGCTTCGGATCCCTTGGGCCTTCAGGTCTTCGACTAAGCCACTTAGGGCCACTGCCGCCGGTTGAGTCGGAAGCCACTCCTCTAAGATCTTCGCGAACTTCCTGGATCCGGGAACCGTTCAGAGCGAGGACGTTGCATACGTTCAGGCCAGAGCGGGTTACCCGCTGCCACCATATCCACAGCTTATCCAGTTGCTTGTCCAGTTCCTGTTGGGTTACGGCTTTGTGACTTTGTGAAGCTGAGCCTTTTGGGAGCCGTAGCGATGGGCTCACCACTCATGCTTGCTGTTTATGCCTTGCCTCTCAAGCCTCAGTCGCGGCTAGCGCTCAAACCCACGCAGGAGCTCCGGCGCCTGCCCAGTGCGGAGGCCGAACCCTCAAGCCATCGAAAGTGAAACTTAGGGACCCAGGAACTTAAGGCAGAAATCCTTTGCTGGGTCCCTCATGTACTGTGTGGAAGACTTGTTTCCTGCCCTGTGGGGCCGACCCTGGCCTCGACCGTGATGAGGTCACGCTGTCGCGCACTCCCGCAGAGGACTGATGTTTCAGCGGATGTCCTGCGTAGTTCCATCCAGCTTTTGGCTTTGTGCAAAAGACTCAGCAGGCCCACTCCGCAGTTGTTTTTTTCCTGCTTGTTGTTGTCCACTTGACTGTGAGGATGAGACGTTCCATCTGTGCCCTGGCAGGATTGGATCGTGAGGTGATAGGAAGTAGGGTTTATATTTCTTGTACCCCTAACAGGACACCAAGTATATACACTCACCACCAATATTAAACAGGAACCGTATATACACTCACCAAAAACAGAAATATAAACCCTGCTTCATATCACTCTGAAGCTTAGTCCCGAAACAAGCAGGACCATCGAGGCAACCATCAAGTAGCACCGCAGGAGAGAAGTGCTAAGACTGAGGTGGCTGCAGGATATTCTTAGGATGATTCCGCTTCTACTTGTTCCTATGATGTGCTTAAGAACCCCCCAGAAAAAATCACCAGACACGAATCCCTTCAGTGCCCTTGCAAGGATGAGTACTTTGTATTGCTGGGGGGGGTTTCTTGAGGAAATCGTAGGCTATCGTCATAGAAATCTGAAGAACCGCTGCCTCCAAGTGTTGCTCAAGGCTGCCGACCTCAGACACGAAGTCGGAAGATCCCAGGGAGGAGATTGAGGATTCCACCTACCGCCCCTCCTGCTGAGAGCTTGAGTATGGTGGGGCGTGTGTAAGGAGTGATCTGGGGAGGATTCTTCACATCCTTCCCGAGGCTTCTCAGAGGGGAGAAAGAGTTCTCACAGCCCCCGGAGTTTCTGAACATACTCGTGGCAAAGGAATCTAAGAAGGTCGGTTCGGGAAAGGCGGACTTTAAAGCACGTAGAATCCTGGGATCCCCCAAGCCGCCAAGATCGTGCTTGGTTCAGATTGTGGTTGGTACCCCCTGCAAATGTCTGAAGATGTTATAAAACGTAGACCCAAAAGGCCCCCCAACAAAATCGATCACGCCCCCCCCCCCCCCCCCAAACATTCCCTCGGCTCATCCTAACTGCTGCTGCCCACGCCCCATTATTATTATTATTTTTATTTTTATTATTATTATAGTTATTATTATTATTACCGTGCAATCTCTAAGGCTGGTGTCGCACCTGCCACTTCTGGCGGCCGCCTGGCGTCTCGCACTGCGCCATGTGCGGGACCGATCTGTCCAGGGCTTCCAGTCCACAGAAGAGCCGCAAGAGCGCTGATGCTTGGGGCTTTGGAGTACTGAAATCCCTCTACAAGAGGGCCTAATTAGAGTAGGGTTCTGGAGGTTATTAGAGTAGAGGTATAAAGGGACCAGAATAAGGGAACATGATTAGTAAGTGTTCCGACCCCTAGATTAGGAAGGACGACTTCCGAAGTGTTGGCGTCAGTGAGTTTTGCTGGTCGCAGGAAGTGCTTCTGGCGGATGGACCACCACTGCTGGGCCATCGGACATTCGGCAAGATTTCCAGCCATGTGGTTCACCGCGCTTCGGTCAGAGTCGCTGTAGGGTTTACGTCCTGGCCTTGGAACCCTAAACCCTAAACCCCAAACCCTAAACCTTATGGACCATTTACGCGATCGGACTTTTCTACGCGAGGGCCACCAAGTCCTGAGTTCTGGCAACTTCATGGCTCACAGGTCCCGTGGACTGTCGGTAGATGGAGGCCTTCTGCATTTCGTATGCAGGTGGTGTGCAAGTAAGAAGTGCTGCAATGGTAGCGATGCTGCGTGGGAGTGTAACGAAAAGCATTCATTCGGCATAGAGAACGCGACGCGTGCAAAGAGCGCACTGCCGCCTACTTGTGGGGTTCGGTTTAACATGATTCTGCCAGAGTGGGGCGTAGAACGTGGGGGAAAGCATGATGAAGGCCCAGCAACACGCGCCTGCACACGGTCTGCAGGAAACTGTGTGGCGCTGCACAACCACCGCTTCTTCTCCGTGCCGTGGCTGTTCGGAGAGACCCTTACATCACAACAAGCATCTTCAAAACCCTGGACCCTAAACCCTAAACCCCAAACCCTAAACCCTAAACCCTAAACGCACCCTAAACGCCCTAAACCCTTTCAAGGCGAAGGTGTTAGGCGGTCGAGGCACCTAGAAGAGCCCCCAAATGTTTGGGGAGGCAAAGATCTCCCCCTGAGTCTTAAAAAAAGATGCAGCACCTAGATGAATACAGGGTTTAGGGTTCTAGCTCCCTCGTCAGGCAATTCAGGCCACTTCGCCCCACAATTCTGTCGCGGTTGCGAAAGTCTCCCTTGGGCTGGGTGCCACAGGGAGACCAGCGAGGGGATTCTCTGCCAGATTTTCTGAAAGGGGTGGCGGACCAGAGCAGGGACGACTTAAAGCTAACAACTCCACACGGAGGTGCGGAGAAGACTCTTTGTACATGTATCTATGTATATAAATAGATGTGTATATATATAATTTTGTATGCATGTCTATCTTTTATATTGTAGAGACAGATAAGAAAAAATGATGGTTAAAAGAAGCTGAGGGAGAGAGAGTCCTAAACCCTAAACCCTAAACCCTAAACCCTAAACCCTAAACCCTAAACCCTAAACCCTGTTTGGGGGGTTGTGGGGAATCCGAGGGCATGGTCACTTCGGGGGCTGCCGCTTGGCTCCTGGCGGCCGTTGCCGTGGCCATGGGCCTTGCTGGGAACTCAAGAAGCTCTGTGCTTAGGGCTTAGGGCTTAGGGGGCTTGGGACCCGAAACGTTGGGGCTTTGGCGGGCTTGGGACCCGAAACCCTAAACCCTAGCCCTAAACCCTAACCCCTGTAGGTTTGGGTTTGGGGATGAGGGTGCTTTCAGAGGCGTAAATCTCGGCATCTCGCTGAAGGCAGCTTGCACAAGTCTGCGAGCCTGTGCATCTAGGGGGCAGGCTTTTTCCAGGTAGGGTTTAGGGTTTAGGGTGTCGAATTCTCGCCCCTAAAGTGGGTCGCCCAGGAGCCCCAAGCTTTGCTGCACCAGCCAACCTGGCCCATGCTGCTGGCGGTGGCCTTCATCGCTGCTCGGTAGGAAACTCCTCGATGCTGTTTCGTGTGGAGTCGCTTCTTCTCCTTTAAGACGCCCAACCTGCGCTAGGCAGACACGCTGCACGTTCTCGGCTAAACGACTTGTGCCCAAAAAAACTCAAGGATCTCAAGATCCGCCCCGAAACCCTAAACCCTCAAGACAAAATAAACAGAAATTGTATGTGGTATCATTCTGAGTTCCCAAGACATTTGTCTAAACAGCTTAAAAGCTGAGTTTAAGCATATTACTTAAAACAATTCTGGGAGGCGAAATGCTTAACCCCCAGAGCCTCCTCCCGACAGCTCCCCCGCCCATTCCCCACCCCCGCCCCAACCCCCAAAAAACAAAACAATTCGGTCAAAACTGTCGGTCAAAAAACGTTATTCTGACCCAATCCCTATACAACTTCTATAACCCTTCACCCTAAGTCCCCTAAACCCTCCAAACCCTCCAAACACGCGCCCCCTAAACCCTAAACCCTAAACCCTAAACGCTAAACCTCCAAACCCCCCACACCTGCGCCCTCTTGGCTGAGATATGGTCCATGCTCGCCCTGTCCGTCCTTGTACCTTTCGCGCCATGGGCCCCAGAGATCGGACAACGGCTTGGGGGGTCAGTGTCGAGCCCCCCCCCCCGCCCCCCCCCAGGCGTCCCTGGGTTTAGGGCTTAGGGCTTAGGGCTTAGGGTTTAGGGTTTAGGGTTTAGGAAACCCTTGTATATATATATATATGCATATACTGCGCTGACGATGATTACGATGATTGTATGTGTCTATATATATAGGTATTTATAGGTATACAGTAGAGGTACCAAGCCTATTCGGCAGCTCTCCGGATTGGTCAGTTTTGGGTTAGCCCAACTAGCAAGCTCCGTACTGAAGCAGGAATCCCACAAGAATCCCAACCATTCTCATAGCATGAGGAGGCAAGGGATGTGTAAAGAAAGTCCGTAAGGCGTACCTGGACGCTTCCGACACCCACTCTCTCTCTCCCTCCCTCCCTCCCCCCCCCCCTC